GTCACCATAAGTTGAAGTTGACCTGAGAAGCAGTTTATAACAACAACAACAACAACAACAACAACAACAACAACAACATATTTGAGTATTTTTAGATAAGAATCGTATCATAAGCATTGCATGGTTACTATTCACTGCAGTTCAACAAATACTTGTGTAGGAGAAATTCTCAAATGACATAAGAGAGACTGTCTTCAAAGTAGCCTTTGAAGTGCAGGGGACTCCATCTACATTTTAATATCTAAGATTTTGTAATGTAACTGTTCAACTTACAAAAATGTAAGAGTTGAAGTAAAAGAAGTCTTTTTCTGACCTCTGCATATGAGTGTATGGTCAGTTCTTGGGCTAGTAAGAAAAGACTAGATGTCATGTCACATTGACAGCAGTCTGGAAACAGGCGGTAGTCAATTGGCCCATCAGCTCCAGTTAGAATTTTTCTTTTGGAACTGAAGGGAAGGGGTGAAAATGTATTATTTTTCCCAGGGGGAAATTGTTAATAATTTAGGGAAATTATTAAGTTGGTAGCAGGGGACATCTGTCTGAGTCAATTGAAGAAGAAAATTATAGCAGTTTCACAGTCTTTATTCTAAAAATATTAAGTGCACTGTCTGGGATAGCAATTAGACACTATTTATTTGTAGAAAATACATCTGGTGCTAGTTTATGCTTTAGAAAGAACACTGGTAAATTATGGGAAGTTAATGAATGGGGATCAGCATTAAGCTACATGATGCCATGCATATTTGCCTTCACAACAGATGGCAAAATCCAGTTCAGTATTATACCAAATAAAAATACTTCCTGAAAATGAGGACACATTCCAAAAACATTTCACTGCCTGAGCTGTAAATATCACAGTTTAAATGCACCCAATAGCCAAACTGAACACACCTGCAGCTCAAAGCACACCAAGTAACATGATAATTATCCATGACATTATTGCATGATTGATTATTTTACTGCTCCTGGCTGTGAAAACAACACACACACACACACACACACATGCCAGGGACTCCAAAAGGCTGAAAATAATAATAATTTATGGGTCTAGCACTCCATAAATCTGGTGAACAAATAATTTTTTCAGGAATTCTTTCTCTGTAAAAAAAGAGTAAACATAAACACGTAAAATCTATGTAGTGTTTGTGGCCTTGGAATGCAATCTTTTAAGATGAAACCAGGAGGTTTCTACAACAATGATTAAGTACATGCTTTGCAGTGTTAAAACTTCAATTTAAATTAAAGAAAATGATGCAGAAACTTACAAAATAATGAACAGAATGCTTACTTCAAAAATATGTACATAAGAAAAATACACTTTTCTACCTTCTCTACCTATCATAGTAATTTGCCGTTTCCTCTTCTTTTACTTTCTAGATGTTTTGTGAACACAAGCATTTAGTCTTTTGATCTGATCTGTAGTTGAATCTCTCTAGAAAGATGCCGTCTAGCCAACCAGTGAATTAAGAATGCAGAAACTTAATTCACCAGGACTTGCCTCCAAGAAGATAAACATGTTAGCAAAACATATTTTGGTTGTTGTTGAAAGTCCTGTTTTGGCATTCAGCTTAGAATGAATCTAACATGTGGGGAAGACTGTATTAAGTAGACCTGACGTTGATGTTACATGTGTTGAGTAACTTCTTCCTTGTATGCACGGTCAAATCGCTGAAAGGAAAAGGGTTTGAAAAGGCTTCACTGCAATTCCATATTGCATATAACCCTTTGTGTGTAGATATTGTCCTTTCTTGGTACGTTGATTTTGTATAACCCAATACCAGGGGAAGGGTTGACTTGAAACACAGAATTACCAGGCTTAACTTAACAACATGGCCAACTTCTATGTAGCATTTATGGACAGAACTGTAAGCTCTAGTCTTGTTTTTACTTTTTTAAAAAGACAAAATTTTGCATTCTTTCTGAGTTTCTAAATTCTTCCACTAAAGTTCATTGCTAGCCAAGTCTGGGTGATGTCATTTGGTTCTACTCTTTGCGATTTTGATACTGTAAAATTCCCTTTACTCAGAATTTGGCATGAGTGGAATGGAATGTAAGAGTGTGTTTTCCCTCAGTGATATTTTTAAACAAATTGACACTGAAATCATTAACTTTGCTTGTTTAAGAAAGCAAAATATCTATACATGGGTGTGTTTCCCCCAATATCTTAAACAGGAAGTCTTCACAGACTTGCCCATTTGGTCCTGCTGTTTTTCTTTCAGCCAGGAACTCTAAGTAGCAGAGACAGTGGAGGATCTGTGCATCACTATGAAAGGGATGTGCTAACTGTAGCACTAACTGCCTCTTTGTAGGCATTTCAGCACCCTTTGCTGTTTTTGATGTCTGTTGCCAGGAGCTGCAGATGTTGGGGGCTGGGGAGGGAGAATTCCAGTGAAAGGCTATGATTCAGCAACCTAAGCAGTTTGCTTTTCACAGCCAAAGTAATTAGATTGGTAGACAAATTAGAAATGTACAGTGCTTTCTTTGTTTGAGGAGTGTGGACGTTGATAACTGATGGTAGAACAGCAAGAGCACAACCCATAAAATAGGTAATCATACTGATTTGAAAGACATATACTTTTTTCGTATGTGATATTCATGAATCCATGTAGTGCCTCCTGACAGTCACATCTCAAACCTCTGTTGACTGAGGTAAACCAAAATAAATTATCTTTTAATGCATCCACATGATTAATGGATTTGGAATATTGCCATTGCATTTCCTCCTCCTCCTCCTCCTCCCATATACTCATGTTGATGCCTGTGCAGATGTAATGCAGCAGCCCCCCCCCATCACCCCTTATTCCTTGTCTTTTATTTGGAGAATGGCCAGATGTTCATTAGACAATTTTAGAACTTCATGATAGTGTGTCAAGTTAAGCCACATGTAGATCCACTGAGAACGATGAGTAGATATGTTGATGGATATGCCCTGAAATAGCAGTAGCAGCAACCAAGATATAGGAAGGATTTTTTTCATGCCAGGCGAAACTGCAAGTCACTTCTGGTGTGAGAGACTTGGCCTTCTACAAGGACGTTGCCCTGGGCCACCAAGATATTTTTTAATTTTTTTTTTAACCATCCTTGTATTCTTTACCATCCGACTGACAGGTTGCAGGTTCGAATCTGGGGAGAAGTGGATGAGCTCCCTCTACCAGCTCCAGCTCCTCATGCAGGGACATGAGAGAAGCCTCCCACAAGGATGATAAAAACATCAAATCATCCAGGCATCCCCTGGGCAACATCCTTGCAGATGGCCAATTCTCTCACACCAGAAGCAACTTGCAGTTTCTCAAGTCATTCCTGACACGAACAAAAAACCATCCTTGTGGGGGGCTTCTCTCATGTCACCGCATGGGGAGCTGGAGCTGACAGAGGGAGCTCATCTGCGCTCTCCCCGGATTGGAACCTGTGACCTGTTGGTCTTCAGTCCTGCTGGCACAAGGGTTTAACCCATTGCACCACTGGGGGCTCCACAGGAAGGAATGACATTATGAAAGTAGAATCTATTTTTGAATTGGTAGTAACTGAAACAGTGCTAAATCAGCAAACTAAATTGTCTCTGTGTATGTTGTAGGTGGGGTGTAAACTAGACTGTTTGCTGATCACGCTAGACATTATTGGGGCTTATGGTTTTAGCTGTTAAGCAGCATCAAGCCTGCACTTGACAAGCAGGATATAAATGGATGAAATAAATAGAAACACGAAGAATGATGTTGACAGCACAAGATTTGCATGGATGGGAAGGATCAGGAATGAAGATATTCTGACCACAGCCATCTGTTTTGGCTATGCCTTATACGGTTGAAATGTCAAAACCAGTTACATACAAAACTTGGAAAAAGTAGTTGTTTCTACCACAAGACATTGGCTGGAGGACTCTGGCAATTGTTGTAGTCAAAGTAGTTACTTTCCCAGGCTCTGTAAAGTATAAAATATTATTGGGAATGCTATCACAGACACACTTTGTACCTTTTCATGATCCTTTGAAGTTTTCTATCCACACAAGAAATTGACTGATATGCTACATTTAATCTTAAGGCAAACTGGAGACTTTAGTAATGAAATGTAATTGCCATGTCAAATCAGACCATCAGTTCATTTTAATTGTTTAACACTCAAAGGTCAATAGTTCATTTCACATACCTGTCTGTGCAGTGATTTTATGACCAGTATATAAATCAACTGAGAAAGAAGGAGAACTATGTTATTCCTTAATACTATCATTCAGATAATGGCCTGATTAGAAAATAATCAGGAAGCTGTGTTTGGAGACCTTTGTGGATTTATTCTATTGATCATCTAGGTCTGAAGAAGCCTTATTTAAGGCCCATGTTTCAGAGAAGATTTGGATGTCTTGATATCATTGAATGGCCAAATACTATCATAGAAACAAGTTAATATGATTGCTAAAAATTGTGTGATGGGGTATCATAGTTAGATTTCTGATAATTCGAAGACATATTTATGTAGAACTTCATATTTTCAGAAGTGTTGGTAGCCAATTCCTATTATTTCCAGCTAGTACAAATAATGCACTAGGTACTGTATCCTATACTTTAGAGAAAAGAATTGGTAAAATCACCTCTGAGTATTCCTAGGCCAAGAGAACTCTGTGAAAGTCATGACATTTCTATGCCAGCAGGTTTCTTCAAGGCACACATATACACATGAAATGTTTAAAGACACCCCCCCCCCTGCGTCAACAACTTCATAATAAAACACCCAGTTCTTTTTCCCCCCCATGATAACTTTTTCAGGAGTGATTTTCCCTTCCTAGGGATAGATGTCTCTCACTTCTTGTTGTCTCAACACCGTTCTTAACTGTGAGTCATTTGTAAGTCGGATATATTATCTCAGGGGCTGCCTGTACATAACTTACATAAATCATAGAAACCAAAAAGTCGTATACAAGCAGTGAAAATATTGTCCCTCATAATAATGCTAGAACCTAAGGTGAATTAAGCAGCTTGAATCATGTTTTGATTTGGGTTTTTTTAAAGGTGAAATGGAGATACCAGATTCTGATGATCCTTTAGGCCAACTGGATGGACCTGGCAGGCCAGTTCCAACGCATAAAGGTAAGAGTAAACATTTATTGACACTGTTCTTCTAACTTTATCAATACTTGCCATCTAAAGCTTTTATTTTTACAACCTACAGTTGTATTATTAGTATGAAAAATGCTATCCTTTTATAAAACCATGACAAGTACCTCAAATTCAAAGGGTTTAATATTGATGCATAGTATTTCCAGAAGTCATCAAGATTTGGTTAACTTATTAGTCATTATTTCTCATTGCCAAATATCCTTTCCCTACACAATTCCCTATATGTGCAAAGAAGTAGCAGACTGTCTTTCTCTGTACTGACTTTTTGAGTGATATAGAATTAAAGGTACATTTTTCCTACAAAGGACTCAAGGGGGATATTAACTCACTTTGTGTGGAAGTCAAAAAGCACAATCAGTTTTTTCCACTGGGAAAGGGAGATATTCAGGAACTGTGCCTGGTAATATGAGGAGGATTGTGGTGAAGTAATGTCACTGATTTCATTTCATGCCTTTTGTGAAGTAAGCAAAAATAGGCTCCTCCACTCTTCTGCTTCCTTTTCTGTATATGACAAGCAAAGTGTCTTACTGTAACTGCAAATTATCATGCTGAAATTCCATCAAAGTTTGCTGTTGTTGCCAAATTTTCTATGGAATTAGCAGTTGGCCAGCATTTTACCAACATTGCTACCTAGCATGAAGCTGCAACTGAAGTACACCATCTCTGCTGTTTCTACTCATAGAAATCTATCTCTACCCCAACTAATACTTTCATATTCATTAGTTAATGATCTATGGGCCAGTTTAATGTAAAGGGGGGGGGGATTCTGATTCTCCCATACCACCAATGAGTTTATAGAAAGACACTTGTAGTGTTTCCAACTAGTAACACTACTAACTAGAGTTAAGTTTAATTTGATCCACAATAAACTGAATTTTAAGATTCTAGAATTTTGGGTAGGCAAGTGTCTTGAATGCTTAAATACCTGAAAATGGTGTGCTTCCGACACTGACATATATTTTGCTTCCTCCATCCAGCATTGCAGAAACAGTATTTTAAAAGTGACCATTTAGTTTTCTCTGGTATTTTTCATTGCAAGCTGCTTCATGTGGCACTTTTGAATGTTACACTATGGAACATTCTGATAATTATATTTGACTGTATATCATCTCCATGTGTGACATGCACCTAGCCTGTTTGAATTAACCTGTGAAGCATCTGAATTTTTTATATTCTAAGATGTAAGGCTTACCTACATCAGCCAGTTATTTCAGAGCCAATCCAGAGCAGAAATGCTGCAGACTACCCCAAAGATCTTGGAAGTATCTAAACACTCTGAGTCTGATCTGCATGAGCAGCAGGATCGAATCTACACAATCCACCTGGACTGAAACCAATTTGGTCCAGTAGCACTATCACCTTACCTTCTGTGTCGCCATTGACACCACCGCAGCTGTGTGGATGCAAAGCTCTAGGCAAGCTCCTGGCCATTGTAAATGTCCTTCCTTTTTCTTGATCATAAGGAGACCTCTGCATATATCGGCACAGGGAACCCGTGCTGGCCAGGAGTTCTCCTAGAGCTCTGTGACCATCTGCAGCATTGAAGGCAACATGAGCCTGATCCACTTCACCTTTCCTGCACTGATGAGTGCAGGGAAAATGAGATAGCAGTGTCAGCCTGTGTGAACTCAATTGTGTTGTCCACACTATGCCCAAAGCATGAGGTTAAACTTGCTGAAGCTCCAGAACATTCCCTGACTTTCTTTAGCATGAGGCTTAACCAATTTAACCTGCAATAAGAACTAGAAGTTCCTATATGTTGTGTAGACATCCAGGAATCACCTTTGTGCCACTGTTAGGTTTTTTGGCCAATGTACACAAGTCCCCAACTTGAGGAGGCAGAAGTTTGCAATTCATTTTAATTTGCTGAATATTCATGTGTTAGCTGTCTTTATTTGGAACTACTGTTAACTTGGTTTGGAACTACTGTGGTTTGGAACTACTATGTTTTAGTCATGGAGTTGGTGCTCCCACTGAACACTGGCAATTGTTGTTACAACCCAAGCATTGTATTTGGAATAGTTAGATCAAATAAACTTTTGGTCCCCTGCTATCTTTTCTGGTGTTTGAAGAATTTTATAACCTGTTTTAAAAGTAGGTTATTAAGTATGTAAACAGCTCATAAGTAAAAATGTATTATGCCATGCCTATTGATATAATCATTTTCTAGAGGTGCACCATTAACTGGAAGACAATGAGAATTGGCCACGAGTGATAGCCTATGATGATGATGATGATGATGATGATGATGATGATGATATCACCAATGTGGAAAACTGAAACCAACAGCAACCAATCATGAAAATATTTTTTGTGGGTTGCCTTAGAAGAAAAACCAGCTAGTAATATACCGTACAGATTGTTATGAGAGCAGAGTAGGCTATGCATTGTTAAGGACACAGTATATGTAAATATAATCACAAGTAATCTGTAAATAGCAAGTGTCCCTAAGAAAACCTTAAAACTATCAAGCCTGCCCACCCAAGCACTATGGGATATACACCAATTTTTGTAACCCTGAGAAGATGGTAAAAACAAGAACTCCCCTGAACTCCCATAATCCAGTTTAAAAATGAACTCCACTGAAGTCCTCCCTCCATGGGTTACGGGTTACTCTTTGTTCACTGCATCACAGGTTCCTCAGGCTTGTCTAGTACTTACAAATATTATTGTTAAAATTGTTTTAATATTTGATGACTTGCCTTCAAAACAAGAATATGAACATACACCAGAATTTATAATGCAGTTCATTTTTCATTTCTTAAAAAGCTTTGTATGACTTGTACATTTGCATATTAATGTTTTATGATTAATTGTGTCAGTAGGTTCCTTCTCCTTCCCTTTGAGATTCGTAGATTTGCTAAAAGTATAAGCCTTAACCTAATCTGCCCTCAGTACTAGAACAAAAGTTAATTATTAGGGATGTAAGACCTTACAAAAAAGATTTCACTTATAAACTCTTCCATTCTGCAAAAGAAGAATGTTATCCTACAATTCAGTTTGGTTGGAGACTTATAAAGTGAATCCAAACACTTGATTAAATTTTAATGGCTTGGATCCAAGATCTACATGGCTAGTTTTACATGCCCAAGGGAGAAACAAACAATCATCTTTGCATAATGGGAATTTTTGTGATGCTGAAAATGCTTTCAAAACAATCTGTAATGTAACTGAGGTTGGAGTGAAGAGCCTATAAATATGAAAAAAGAGCAAATCGAAAATTCTGATGGGCACCCCCAAGTTCTTGGACACAGCTCAAGTAGCTCTTTGGATTTCATCCAATGAAAGCAAGTATAAAATGTAATGATCAAAATGAGATCTGATGTAATAGAATTCCAGGGCAGGGAACATTATACTAAATATATTGCTGCTAGGCTTAATACTGGCAAAAGCTGCTTTCCTTCCAACACAATGTTAAATAATATTTAACTGATCTGATCTTATTACGAACTGTATTAAATTTAGTAACTGCAGATGTATTTCCTTTTCTACATCTCATTTTCCCAAAGAATCTGGGGTTTTTTTTTAACTTCATGCCTTTATCATTATCCTGAAATACATTCTTGGAAAAAGCAATACATTGATTTTATAGCTACATAATCTCAGAAGTAGCTAGCCATTTTGGCATGCATCTGAGATAAAACAGAAATAAGTGTAGATGGTTCAAAGTAGAGGAGCAACTTAATGCTATGTTCCTCAAAATGCTTTATTTCTTTAATACAGAAACAAAGATGCAGAATGGAGGACGCCTGGCTCAACAGCAGTATGTGTGAAAACGATCTTGGAGTCCTTGTGGACAACAAGTTAAACATGAGCCAACAATGTGATGCAGCAGCTAAAAAAGTCAATGGGATTTTGGCCTGCATTAATAGGAGCTGAGTGTCTAGATCCAGGGAAGTCATGCTACCCCTCTATTCTGCCTTGGTCAGATGACACCTGGAATACTGTGTCCAATTCTGGGCACCACAGTTTAAGGGAAATGTTGACAAGCTGGAATGTGTCCAGAGGAGGGTGACTAAAATGATCAAGGGTCTGGAGAACAAGCCCTATGAGAAGCAGTTTAAAGAGCTGTGCATGTTTAGCCTGCAGAAGAGAAGGCTGAGAGGAGACATGATGGCTACAATGGACAATCCGACCTCTGACCACCAACTATATCACTGCCACCAAAATCACACTGGTCAGTCTGACCAACCACTGGAGTTAGCCCCCAGAGCCACTCAAAATTGGAGGGAAAACTCCAATATAAAGGGAGTTGGCTGTTGTTCAAACAGGTGCCCTTATTATATTTGTGCACAGAAAGACACAATGACTGTGACGAAGTAAAACAAACAGATTTAAAAAGCTTATTTGAACTGGAATAAGTAGGCTTCTGAGATGTTAAGAGAGGTACAGATGCTTATTTGTTATAGCTGGTTGTCAGATTGTTTCTTTACAGTAAATGGTTCCTTCACAAAGCAACATTCACTCACAGGACTTTTCAGAACTCTCAGTTCTTCCCAACTAGAGCAGTATTTTCTGTTGGTTCTTTGTGCCAAGTTTGATTCAATTCCATCATTTGTGGAGTTCAGAATGCTCTTTGATTGTAGATAAACTATAAATCACAGCAACTGCAACTCCCAAATGACAAAAATAAATCCCCTTGCAACCCCAACAGTATTCAAATTTGGGTGAATTGGGTATTTGTGCCAAATTTGGTCCAGTGAATGAAAATATATCCTGCATATCAGATATTTACATTATGATGCATAACAGTAGTAAAACTGCAGTTAGCAACTAAAACCTCTTATTTCGAACATTTATATTCCATCCTTCCCAACCCCCGAAGGGGAACTCAGAGCGGCTAACAAACTGGCAACAATTCGATGCCACAACATATAAACAAATGTAACAAACAAAACAATAAATAAAGCATTAAGTTAAAATAATTTAAAACATTATTAGCAAACCATGTAGCCATTTGCCCCTTAACC